CCTCGGCAGATGTTCTTGTGGTAATTCTACAGAGTAAGTTATCTCCTTTCTTGGCTAAATGTCCAGGCCTGAGCTCATGGCTCTTGCACTTATAATACCTGGCAAATGTCTATCACTCCTGGGGAGCTGCACCTCGGGATCCACTTTCCTATTATTAATCATTTAGGGGATTAATATCTTTGACCCAAATATGATAGAGAAAAATCTTCAGAAAAGAGACTCAGAGCAATAAGACCCCACTCAGGGCATGGAGAGGACCCCCACGTATTTCATCACGGGCAGAACCGGGAGAGGTGCTGCCTCAAAGTGGGGGCCCTGCATACGACAACCAGCCAGACAACCAGCCACAGAGCCAAAGCAGCGGCACAGCCTGCCCCGCCCCGCCGCCGCCTGCAGCTCCGCCCCTCAGCGGCTGTGGCTGCGATGGCCTTAGATACAACAACCAGGAGGCACGAACCTCTTAAAACATGTCCTCGCTTTCCCTATCCAGACCGTTCAGTGCAGACTGGCGAGTTACAAGGCTTCTTGCCACACAGTCTAGGCTACACCGTCCGCCCCCGCCGGTAAGTGAGGCAGGAGCACAGCAGCTAGGAGGACTCCTGGCAAGTGGGACGGGGAAACTGAGGTGGGATCATTAAACAAGGCCAAACAATTAACTTCACAGTGATCCTAGGTTCCCCAGCCACGGCCACCTGAGAGCAAACATTCACCCCTCCCCTCCCTAACAGGGAGCACAGAGCTTAAATCCGAGGGTCAGGCAGCAGAGACCCAACTTATGCCCTTTGTGCCAGCCAACCCAGGGCAGATGAAGTCAGGGGAACAAAGAGCCAAACAACAGCAACAATCAGAGCCAGGCAGACCCGCGATAGGAGTGAGGCAGTGAAACCGACCAGAGAATACCCCACTCCCCTCTCTGCTGCCGTGAAGCACCCACATTTTGAGGGACACGCCTGGGGAACATGGCCGCTCTGTAAGACCCTCCCTGAGCGCCCTGGACTCCGCCAGCGGGAAGACAAACCCCTCAGAACGAAGCTGGCACGGACTTTGGAGCCTGCCCGCCTTTTCTCGGGCGTGAGCTTTTTACTCTCTTTCTCCTAACCTCTGAGGGTCCAGCAGTTCAAACTTTCCCAAGCTGAACCTCCACGGCCCCCTTTCCTGACTCCGCGTGAGCGGCAGCCCTGCGTGGCTCACTGCTGCCCACGACCGGTGTTTCCCGGGGAATTCGCACAGCCCAGCGTGGCTCGCTTCCTTTCCACTCTCCACGGAGCTGAGCACAGCCCCGCCCGGCTCTCCCGCTGCTGCTTCTACCCACCCCAAGCCTTCCCGTCTCACTGACCCCGCTTTAATGGACACTCTCACGTCCCCTGGGCTCGCGCTGTGAAATCTCCCCCGCACCCACCCCTCCGGCCGGCCTCAGCAGACCTGGAAGTCATGCTCCTGCTCACCCGCCTCACCCGGGGACCCCCCTGCCACATGTCGTCCCCCAAGCCAGGGCTCACAGAGGGCGACAGCCCGGACAACAGCCTGGCTCTCTCGCGAGGTCTGTGGCTTCCTAGGGTCCAATGTTCGTCTGTCTCGGGCTGAGAGGGGGCAGCAGCGAAGGAGTCTGCCTGCAGCCACAGGTGGTTTTCTGCATCGAGTTGAACTTAAAAGCTCATCGTCACCATTTACTCTCTTATTAAGAGCAAACCTCACCCCCTTTCCACTGAGATCCTCACAGAAGTCACTCTCCACTGCAGACAGGCAACTGCACCCCCAACCCTGCCCCGGCCCAGGACCTGAGGTCTGTGATCGAGGCCCCGCCGGCCCAAAGGGCTGCCCCTGAGGTGTCAGCTCCTCCGGGGAAGAAAGTGCAATCGCTGCTCAGGAAACACAAAGCAGCCACTTACCCGAGAGGCCGCGGAGTGTCTGCCCGCGGCTCGCCGCAGCCCCGGTCTGACGCCGGCGCAGGAGGGCCGCTCAGAGCGGCAGATGTGTGCGTCCGTCCCGATGGCCGCGGGCAAAACAGGAACCTCTGCGTCAGGTTCTGCTTCCCTCCTCTGGCCGTTACCCCGCTTTCATGAACGCTCTCAGATCCCACTGAGAGAGCAGCTCGTGCCAGGCCCTGCAGGGCCCTCGCCGGCCACCAGCTCCCCGAGGGGGTCCTCACCGGCGTCAGTCAGGCGAGCAGCCCTGAGACAGCAGCCAGCCTCGCGCACACCGCGTACAATACATCTAAGGCGAACACAGAACGCGTCTGAAACACGCCAACCTCTCTGACTGCTCCCTCCACACCCACCTGCCCGCTTCCGCCCGCACGTGGGCTCGTGCCCCCCAGAGGCCGGGTGCCTTGCGCACCCAGAGGAGCACTCAAGGCTTCCCTCTTCCAGGAGTCTTTTGCTTTTACATCACCACCTCCCAGCCAGTGTCCCAGGGCCCAGGCCTGTCCGGGCCGGGCCGCGGGCCGCCCTCGTGCACTGCCTTCGCCACGCGTCCTGCGCCCTAAACGCCTTCTCAGGCCCCTGCTCCTCGGGCCTAAGGCACAGCCGCCCCCTCCGTGCGCCACGCAGGGCGGGAGGGGCTGGGGAGCCAGTGTTTCCCTAATGCGCTCGCATGGCCCACTGCAAACTGCCAACACCAACCCAAGGGTTTAAGCCCCCGAACCTCAGCCGCCCTCCAGCCCCAGGCCCCGCTGCTCCGCGTCCGAGCACACCTCGCCGGGAGCAGCTCGGAGGAGCCGCTGCTCGATGCTGGAAACCACAGACCTGCTGCTTTCGTGCGGCAGCTCTCGTCTCACGTCAGCATGCACCAGGAGTGCCGAGACGGTCACCACCTCTGATGTGGCAGACATCAAGCGCTACGGTGTCTGCGCACACGCACATCCTCCTACAAAGACACAGACACAAAAGCCCCACTGAAGTGGCAATTCCAGTCCAACAGCGCGGCCCGGCCACGACGGAGCTCTCTCCTGGCCACAGGTGTACGCGGTGGACTGAGACCGCAGCCCGGACCGCCCCGGGCCCTCATCCCCGGGACCCTAACGGAGGGGCGCCCCCAACCTGCCGCCTCGGGATGTGGCCTCCAGTACCCCTCAGAGCCCCCGTGCAGAGGAGCCCGTGCAGAGAGCGGCCGCTGCCCAGGAAGCCGGGCCCAGGCTGGGAGAGCTCAGTGCACAGCACTCGCCAGGTCACTAAGACTTTTCGGCCAGAGAGAACCGCCCAAGGCCTCAGCCCTGCCGATGGCAGACTAACTCCTTTCTGGGCCAGCCTGGCTCCCGGGTGGCCAAACCGCGGGCATGGGGAAGGAAAGCGGAGGGAGACAGCAGCGGGCCGGGTCAGAGCCCCGCCCGCCGCCTCCGCCCCGAGAAGCGCTGCCCAAGCCTGCTCCTGCCCGGGGAGGGGGGGCTGCGAGGCCAGCAGGGCTGCACTGCCAGCGTGCTCTCCCGTGAGGGGCGCTGGAAGGAATGGTTCCAGCCACGATCACGGCCACAGAACAACACGACTGGTCTGACGTGACAGACACAGCACACGGGAACACGCTGCCCCCGGCCGGAGGAAATGACAAGCACACGCAGGGAGCACGCGTTCCTCCTTCAGTGGGACGCGGATCGGCGCGGCCCCGTCACACTCGTCCTCGGAGAAAGGAGGGCCCACAGGAAGGCCGCCTCGCCGCGTCCCCGGGCCTGTCCTTACCGCTCCGCCTGCCCTCCTCCCTGGCCTCCGCCCCCAAGGGGCCCGGACGGAGGTGTCACGGCTGGAAATGTGAACAGCAAACCCTGCCTCCCTCTTCCGCCTCCTCGCCTGAGCAGGGTCCATCGTGAGGCCTGGGAACCAGCCGGACGCTCCTCTGTGGACCAGGGAACGAGGGCGGGCAGGGCCAGGAGGCAGCGCTAACACCACAACCTTACACCTCGGCCCCGGCAGCACCGTCCGGGCTTGTCATGGCACCCGGTGCCCCGGCTGCGGTCCTAGGGACACCCCCCTTCCCCCCCCAACTCCACCCCCCCTCGAGGCGCGTGGAGGGGGCGCCTGGGGAACGGAGGAGGAGGCGGCGCCGTTCCCGTCGGGACCCAGGCGTGAACCATCGCCCAGCGCAGGGGCTGCCCTGCGGGCCTCCCGAGCGGCTCAGAGAAACCGTGAGGGCGTCGGCAGGAAAGGTTTCGGGGACCAGCAGGGGGGGTGCAGCTTACGCACGGCACCACGGCCTTGTTCCGCGTGTCACACACCGGTCAGGCTCCACGCCAGACGGGCAGTTTAGAAAGCACAGATGCTCCGGAGCGCTCGGTGAAAGCATTTCATTGTGAGAACGGTGCAAGCACTCTACAAGCGCCCAGACTCTGCCGAAGGCTGTTTCTTGCCTCGGATCTTAAAAGTCACGCAGGAAGCCAGCGGAAGGAGAGAAGGCAGGCCCCCTCCGCCTTGCTGCCCTCACTTCGCTGTGAACTGAGGGCGCCGGGAGCCGGGTCAGAGCCTGGCTCCTGGTCCAACCACAGGGACACGGCTGCGGCCACCACGCCGCCCCTGTCACTGCCGCCGAGGCGCCGAGCGGAGTGCAAGCGTGTGCTCACCTACAGCCGGAATGTTCCCGGAGAATACTGATCCCCAACACACCCCTTCCGCCAGCACCTCGGGACCGAGCTCCCTTCCTTCAGAATAAAAGACTCTGGCATCAGCAGTGTGGCTAACATTCAGGTTCTCCCTCAAATAATGGAAGAGAACATGGAATACATTCAAGAGCAAGGTGAAATACAGTCTCTCTCTCTCCTCAGGAAGAGGTTCCTTCATCAATTAGAGGAACGGTGTGAAAGGGGGTCGTTAGGAGTCTCTTCTGAAAGTCCCTGAACAGTTTATAAATACAACAAGAAATCTCGTCCATCAGTAATGGCTTCTAAAGTCTTTACTGGTGGGTTCCAGAACCCTCCATCCCGACTGTCAGGTCGGCTCCAGTCCTCCAGAGGCTTCCGTGCCAGGGCAATGCTCCGCGGTGAGTCTCTGATTCTTCTTACGCTGTGCACACCTCCCTCAGTACGTGTCCTCGTAGTCTGAGTCCTGAGAGGAAGGAACAGCAGCTGCGGTGAGTACGGGACGTACAATAAGAGTCAGAATTCAGCCAATGGACCCCCCAAAGGAACCCAGTTTGGAACATCAACAGGAGGTGGCACTGGCTCCACACACCGGCATTCCCAGGGTCTCCGGCGAGTTTCTGCTCTGAAACCCTGAGCGTCCCCTCTTCCTAACACCTCAGCGCTCATCGCAAGGTGCCCGGAGGCTGCGGAACATGCAGGGCTGGGCTTGGTGCTTAGGCCAGGAGTCAGTCTCCCTCTGAGTTTCAATCCCTTGCTGGCTGTGACCTTGAGTCACACTCTTTGTTTTCTCTAAGCCCGTTTCCTCATCTGTAGAACTGACAGCACAGAGAACAACTCTGAGAACTGAATGGGACGGTGACTGTAAATCACTGAACACTGGCCTGGCTCTCGGTACGCAAAGCACCCATGTTCCAACTTGTACTCGGCTTTGAACTGCAAGTGGGCCGGTGAGCGCTCCCTGGACCACGCTCCTGCGGTCCGTCCACTGTCCTGTTCTCCCAGATGACGGCCTCAGACCTCCCCTCCCCCAGACCTCCAAACCGCCTCCTCAGCGCCCTTTGCAGCGGTGACCTTGCTTCCCCCCTTCGTGGGAACTTCCGCAAGCTCCCATCACCATGGTTACTGACCACCTGCATCTAGGCCCACCTACGTGCCCTTCCCAGCTCTGCGGAAGGATGTACTGGCCCTGCTCTTATCTAAGCCAGCATCTTCACTGGCCACTGGAGCCTGGAGTCCTGCGGGGCCCTTACCTCTCAAGGGCAGAGCCTATTTCTCCTTCTCTGCCACTTCCCCTCCTTTCGCATACAAATGTGCTATCATCTCTCCCATCTTAAAAGGAAAGTAACTCTCTCTAACACACCTTTCTCACCTACTGCCCTATTCCGGGGCCTTTCTCCACGGGGGAAAAAAACAAAAACATGAAACACTGTACACCCAGTGTAACCAGCAAATATCCTTGGTCTAGCTTTCACCCCACTTTCCTCTGTAGCTGCTTTGGCTAAAGTCACCCTTCACCTCCACAACCCCAGGTCATCCAAGAATCAACGCTTGTGTTACTCAACCAACTGGGGAGCAACTGGCACCATCGTTCTCTTTTCCCTTTTTCAAACACTCTCTTCACTGGAACCCAGGATTCCACTCTCCTGGTCCTCCCGTACCTCACTGTACAGTCCTTCCCAGCTTCCTTTGTGGATTCCCCTTCCTCTCCCCACTCTATCTGCCTTGGACCTCTCTATCTATACTCATTTCCGGGTGGAAACAGCTCTCCCAGCCTCTATCTGCTATTGACGCCTACGTCTATATCACCAGTCTAGACCTCTCTTCAGAACTTCACACCTTGGGATAACCAATTGCCTACTCCACATCTCACCTTGGTTGTCTAACAAGCATTTCAAACTTAATCTATCCAAACTCAGCTCTGGCTCTTCCTCCTAAAGCCTGTTGCATTCTCAGACTTGTACATATTAAAACAGCAACTCTATTCCACTACTTGTTCAAGTCCATAGCCTTGCAATGCTCCTGGACTCCCCTCATTCTTTCATATATACATCTCCCACCAGTAATACCATTGGCTTTACCTTCAAACTATAATCAGAGCACAGTCACTTCTGACCACTTCTACCACCACCACCCTGATCTGAACCAACACCCTCTCCTCTCACTGGCATTACTGCTGGAGTCCCCTAGCTGGGCTCCCTGGCTCCTTTGTGGTCCCTTCCCACCTATTCTCAACCCAGAGGCCAGAACAGGCCTTTTAAAACATACATCAGTTCACAGTCTGTCAAGAACCTCCAATGGATTCTGTGTCATTAAAAACAAACGTCCAAGTCATTACAATCCCTACAATGTTCTAAAAGATATGACATCATGTCTCTGAAGAAAAACAGGGGTGAGCAAAGGAGGTTTACTGTCATGAGCACATAAAACAGTTTATCCTTGTATTGTTACTTATCTAATAAGTATGATAGTATTATTATTTTTTGTATTCTTACTTATGATTTATCTGTTGGGTAATGATGGCTGGTAATTTCAACAATGACCAACAAAAGTGGAAACTTAAAAATCCTGGGGGATGCCAGAAGGAGAAGAGAGAGAGCAAGAAATTGAAAACCTACTTGAAAAAGAATGACAGAAAAGTTGCTTAACCTGGCGAAGAAAATTGGCATACAAGTCCAGGAAGCACAGAGAGGCCCAAACAAGAGGAACCCAAAGAGGCCCACACCAACACACATAACAGTTAAAATACCAAGGGCTAAAGACTAAGAGAGAATCTTAAAAGCAGCAAGAGAAAAGCAATTAGTTACCACAAGGGAGGCCATATGACTGTCAGCTGATTTCTCAACAGAAACTTTGCAGGCAGAAGGCCAAGGCAAGAAATACTCAGTGATGAGAAGGAAGAACCTATAACCAATCAGACTGTCGGCACCCCGGGAAATGTTGCTCTCACTCTGATGGGGACACAGTTCCTGGGAGGCCTCAGAGGTCCCTGAGGAGGGACGTCAGCCTCCTCGGTGCAGAGCTTGGTCTCCCTGGGAAGGAAAAGAAGAGGCTCCGGTTGACACGTGGAGGGAAGCAGAGAGGAGCCGCGTTTGCGCCGTCCACTGTCACATACAGATGTGACGGAAGGGTCACATGGCGTCCCTGACAAGATGAGGGCTGTGCACATGCACCACCCCACCCATGTCATTATTCAGGAAGATGGTTCTTTTGTTGAAATCATAAGTTTCTTGGGGGGAAAATACACCCACAAGGTTCAAAGGGGGTCAGGCGTTGTTTGTTCAGTATCTCAAGCCCAGAAAGATTAGTCGATTCTTGAAGGAAATGACATTGAACTTGTATTAAATTCTGCTGCTTTGATTCAGTGAGCCACAACAGTTAAAGCAAGGAGATCAGAAAATGTTTGGGTGGTATCTATGTTTCTTTAAAAAGGATGTTTCGCAGGCTGATAAATAAGATCTAAGTTGCCTAGCTATCAAAACAGCAAGATGTCAGATGATTCCTCAGACTTATTTGCAATATTTTAAAGATGCAATGCCTGGCCGGCATGGTTCAGTAGCTAAGCATCACAGTTCGATTCCCTGTTAGGGAACATGCCTGGATTGTGGGCTCAATCCCCGGTGTGGGGCATGCTGAAGGCAGCAAATCAGTAATTCTCTCACATCACTGATGTTTCTCTCTCTCTCCCTCGTCCTTCCTCTCTGAAATCAATAAAAATACATTTTTTTTAAAAAATGCAGTGAAAGCCATGTATTGAAGGAAAAACCCAAGGATCTGCAGAAAAGTTCGATTAAGGGCTCTGGATGCAGCCGGTTGAAGTCTCCTAGCGTGACCACAGGGCAGAGGACACCCCCTCCCCACCAGCAGGTCCCCTGTCACCCAGCAGAGACTGCTCCACGGAGTCCCTACCCCAGTCCAAGCCACCACTCTGTGTCCAGGAGGCAGAAAACAAAAAACACCCCCTGAAGCCTAACAGACCTTGGTTGCCACCATGCCCTGGACCTCCTGGCATGATCCTCTGCCGTCACCGAAGGCAAAGGGTCCCCGTAAATGAGCCAAGAAGCGACCCAGGAACAGGGCACAGAAGAAGGGGGTGGCTTACCAAGCAATCGGCACAGCGGACGCAGAGCCTTGCCATGCAGTCATCCTCCTCTTGGTCAGTGCTGCAAAACAGGACGCCCCACCCAAAACCATCACTGGCTCTGTTCGGCACAGCAGGCACAGCACAGGCACCGAGGGACTGCTCGGCTGTCAGAGCCAGCTCTGCCACCTATCGGCAGGGTGACTGGGCAGGTTACTTCAGCTCCAGGACTGTTTCCTCATCTATAAAATGCAGATGTTAGCCCGGCCAGCATGGCTCAGGGATTGAGCATCGACCTATAAACCAGGAGGTCATTGTTCAATTCCTCGTCAGGGCACACGCCTGCATTGTGGGCTCTGTTCCCAGTGTGGGGTGTGCAGGAGGCAGCCGATCCATGATTCTCTCTCATCATTGATGCTTTGCTCTCTCTCTCTCTCTCTCCCTTCCTCTCTGAAAGCAATAATAATAAATAAAAAAAAGATGTAGCCAAAGCCAGTTTGGCTCAGTGGTAGAGCGTCGGTCTGCGGACTGAAAGGTCCCGGGTTCGATTCCGGTCAAGGGCATGTACCTTGGTTGCGGGCACATCCCCGGTAGGGGGTGTGAAGGAGGCAGCTGGTCGATGTTTTTCTCTCATTGACGTATCTAGCTCTCTATCTCTCTCCCTTTCTCTCTCTGTTAAAAATCAATAAAATATATATTTTTTTAAAAGATGTAATTCAAAAAAATATTGGCTTTAAAAAATAAATAAATAAAATGCAGATATTACATCTATGCTTCAAGCATAGTAGTTAGGAGTAAATAAAAAAAAAAATAAACACACATCAAACACATACCACAGTGGCTGGCACAAGTAAGTACTCAATAGATGGGAGTTGGTCACAGCCACTTCTTTAGAAATGCACTGAGCACCAGGCATCCCTGAGGCCTCGTGCTGGCGGGGGATGAAGACATGATAAAGCACAGCCCCTGGGTGTGTCCCGTCTCCTGGGGACAAGGCCTGCTGAACCATAGCAAGCACGCCCTCATACGAGGCAATCAAGGTGTGAATGAGGCTAAGGTCTCTGCTGCAGCAGCAGAGGAGGGAATGGCCACTTCTCCCTGTGAGACTCAGGAAACTCAAGAGAAGGGACGTCTCCACTGGGTCTCAGAGAATAGGAAGAGTATTTCCGGCAAAAGGGAGAAAGAAGCGGGGACCCCAGGGGAGAGAGGTGTGTTGCGGGGAGTACAGCTTGTAAGGGAAGAAGCTCGCTGTGGCTGGAACGCAGAGCGAATGGCGAGTGGCAGGAAACAAAGTAGCTGTGGAAATTCCACTGATTTTGAAGGAATGAGGCCTCTACTTCAGAATTTATGTTCAGAACCAAAGGATTGTGTCATCTGATTTCCAGAGCAGGAAGCTAGTACCTGCTATCAAGCCCCCATCTTTCCCCAAATCCACACCCTAGGTTTCACTTTCAACCTCCTGACCAGTACTGCTCTGCCTCTTCAAGAGATTTCAGAGAGAGTGGCAGGGAACAGCTGTGAACCCAGGAACACCGGACCTCAAGCAGCATGAATATGCAGACTCGGATGAGCTCTGCACCCTCTCACAGAAAAATCAGATTTCACCGAGGAAAAGGAAAGAGAGAGAGAGAGAGAGAGAGAACCACATAACCAGATAATCAGAGAAGAGAGATCATAGGGAGACAAAGAAACAGCCCACATATGAAAGAAAAGGAGGTATTATCAGAAAAGAAATAAACAAAGTGGAGGCAAGTAATATGTCAGAGAAAGAATTCAGAGAAATTGTCATAAGGTGGATGAAAAGAATGGAAGACAAATTCAACAATATGTGTAAGAACCAAGAGGAAATGGAGAAGAAGCAAGAAGAAATGAAAAATGGCATCACTACTATAAAGAACTCAATAGAAAGCATCAACAGTAGACTTGAAGAAGCAGAGGACCGCATCAGTAAACTAGAAGACAAGGTAGAAAAAAGTACCCAAGCAGAGCAGATCGAGTAAAAAGACTTAAATAACAGGAGGAGAGCCTAAGGCAGTGGTTCTCAACGTTTCTGATGCCACAACCTTTTAATACAGTTCCTTATGTTGTGGTGACCCCCAACCATAAACTTCATAACTTTAATTTTGCTACTGTTAATGAACTGTAATGTAAATATCTGTGTTTTCCAATGGTCTTAGGTGATCCTGCTAGCAGTTCTCAACCTGTGGTTCGTAACCCACTGGCATAGAGGTTGTTCTCAAAAATGCCTGGTACTGGCACAAGAACAGACATATAGACCAATGGAACAGAATAGAGGACCCAGAAATGGACCCAAGCCATTATACTTAATTAATATTTGACAAAGGAGGCAATAGCATACAATGGAGTCAAAACAACCTATTTAAAAAATGGTGCTGGGAAATCTAGTCAGATACATGCAAAAAAATGAAATTAGATCACCAACTTACACCATACACAAAAACAAACTCAAAATGGCTAAAGAACTTTAACATAAGACGGGAAACCATAAAAATCCTACAAAACTCCATAAGCAGCAAAATTGCAGACATATGTTGTAGCAATATCTTTATAGACACAGATCCTAGGGCAAGAGAGACTAAGGAAAAAATAAACAAATGGAACTACCTCAAAATAAAAAGCTTCTGCACAGCAAAAGAAACCATCAACAAAATAATAAGAAAGCCCACTGCATGGAAGAACATATTTGCCAATGTTATCTTCAATAAGGGTTTAATCTCCAAAATTTACAGAGAACTCATAGAACTTAACAAAAGGAAGATAAACAACTCAATCAAAAAATGGGCAAAGGACCTAAGTAGATACTTCTCAAAAGATGACATTCAGAAGGCCCAGAAACATATGAAAATGTGCTCAAAGTCACTTATCATCCAAGAGATGCAAATCAAAACAACAATGAGGTACCAACTCACACCTGTCAGAATTACTATCATTAACAAATCAACAAACGACAAGTGCTGGCAGGATGTGGAGAAAAAGGAACCCTCGTGCACTGCTGGTGGGAATGCAGACTGGTGCAGCCACTGTGGAGAACAGTATGGTATTTTCTCAAAAAGTTAAAAATGGAACTCCCATTTGATCCAGTAATCCCATTTCCAGGAATATATCCCAAGAAAACAGAAATACCAATCAGAAAGAATATGTGCACCCCTATGTTCATAGCAGCACAATTCACCATAGCTAAGACTTGGAAGCAGCCTAAATGCCCATCAGCAGATGAGTGGATTAGAAAACGATGGTACATCTACACAATGGCATACTACGCTGCTATAAAAAAGAAGGAATCCTTACCATTTCCAGCAGCATGGATGGAACTGGAGAGCATTATGCTAAGTGAAATAAGCCAGGCAGTGAAAGAAAGATACCACATGATCTCACTAATTTATGGATAATAAAGAACATTATAACCTAGTGAACAAAAAGATAGATACAGAGACAGAGAAACATGGAACAGACTGTCAAATTACAGCGGGAAGGCTAGGGAGTGTTGGGGAGGGGGTAAGGATCTACCGAAGGACTTGTATGCATGCATATAAGCATAACCAATGGATGCAAGACACTGGGGTGTGGAGGGGTGAGGGCATGTCCTGGGGGATAGGGGAGGCTGGGGGGAGGTAAATGGGGGAAAGAGACATATGTACTACTATGTGTAATACTGTAAACAATAAAAAAAGAAGAAGAAGAAGAGATTTCATAAGCCAAACCACAAAAACATCACGTGGTCTCACTTACTTGGGAACCTAATGAACAAAGGCACTGACCAACCAAATGAGACCGAAGCCGGGGCAGGACCGTGTGGGCGGGGAGAGAGAGATAAACAAAGAACTTACATACGTAACACATGGCCCGTAGCCCGTGGACATGGGCCATAGGGTGGTGAAGACCCGGGGGTGGGGAGGGAAGAGAGGGAAGGGGGGAAATGGGAGCTACCCATAATACTACCAACAATTAAAAATATATTTAAAAAGAAAAAAAGGAAATTTCACCAGCAGAACTAAGCTCAGGCTGGAAGTAAGAAAAGCACGGATGCAGGGGCAGGTACCACCCACAGGGCAGGGCGGGCACCACCCACAGGGCAGGCGTCTGAGGGGGTTAGGATTCAGGGCTTGGGGCTCCGGCTGTACTTACTCATCGGAAACCTCGATGGAGGACTTCTTGTAGCCAGATCTGCCCCTCTTCCTCAGCCCCGCAGACTTCCTCGCCATCCTCACCAGCAGCAGCACCACCACCACTGCCGAGGGGATGAAGACCAGGATGGAAAGCAGGGACACGGAGGACAGCATGGTGCCGAAGCCTGGGGGAGGGAGGAGAGAGGCCCCTGCAGAGATGTTTCTTTGACAGGAGATGGGTCTCACTTTTGCACGCTCGTCTCCTCGTTACAAAAGGAATAGATTCAACATACACAAAGGTAAGAACTAAACACGCAGAAAGGACAAAAACTGACCCGAATCCTACTACCTAGAGTAACACTTTGTCATCTGCCCGCTCCACTTCTTTCTAAGCACGTGACTGGGGTCTGCGACAGGGAGGGCGGTATGTGTTTTTAAAAGTTTGAGTCATGTTTTACATATCACGCCTAACCCCTATTTACTCACTACATAAGTACTTTCCATGTCATTAAAGGTTCCATCCAGATTCGACCCTGCTTAAAAATATTTTTATTGATCTTTAGAGATAGAGGAAGGGAGAGAGAGAGAGAGAGAAACATTGATGGGCTGCTCCTGCACTGGGGACTGTGCCCGCAACCCAGCATGTGCCCTGACCAGGAATCGGACTGGTGACCTCTTGGTTTCTAGGTCGACGTTCACCTGCTGAGCCACACTGGCAGGCGAGACCTTTTCAATGGCTGCGTAGCAGTCTGTCACTCCGCGTAGTTTAAGGACTCAGTCCTCGGGTGCTGAGCATTCAGGTCACCCCAATTCCCTGAAGCTATAAATTACATCATGATCGTCCTTGTCCAGAAACCTTCATGCTGCGCTCTATTTAAGATAACTTTTTAAACTGGAATTCTGGGTGAAAGAGTGCACACTCTCAAGACCCTGTTACACTGCCGACTGTCTTCTGGAAACACCGTACCCGTTTCTCCCTTGCCAGAGGGATGTGCTCACCTGTCTTGGAAATTTATGGGTGATGGTCTTTAAAAAAAAAAAACAATGCGGTCCGGTCTCTCCAAGTCTTTGGGTCTGATCCAACCAAGGGCTGGGGCGGCCCCTCACCAGGCCCAGCAGGAAGGAGGATGGAAAGGTGAGTCCCTCGCCTGCTCTGCGGCCACCGAAGGCCACTGCTGGTCTTCACAGCACAGCACGTGCTGCCTCCACTGGGGGCGGGGGAGGTTCTCCATCACAGAGCAGAGGGACCCTCCATCACCAAACGGGGGGACCCTCATGACCCAGGCAAGCACACCGTCTCATCACTGAGGGTGAGGGCACATGAGGGAAACCAGATGGCTTCCATCAGAGACAACAACCCTCCGTTTATATGAGGATTTGTCCCGCCTTGTCCACAAGACCCCTGGTCACCTGAGTCTAAACACAATAAAGGAGAAACTATGACAATGTTTGAAGAAAAACTTCAGTTTGGTCCTGCCAGTTTGGCTCAGTGGATACAGCATCGGCCCTCGGACTCAAGGGTCCCGGGTACAATTCCAGTCAAGGGCACAAGCCTCGGCTGCAGGCTGGATTCAACCAATCCATGTGTCTCTCTCACATCAATGTTTCCTTCTCTGTGTCTCTCTCCCTCCTTCCCTTCCACTCTCTCTAAAAATCAATGGGAAAAAAAACCTCGGGTGAGGATTAATGAATAAAGGGGAAAAAAGAAAAATGTCAGTTTGCAGAAAAAAAATTAAAAATTGCATCCTAATCGACAATTCAATTGGCTTGCAAACAGGCAGCTTTGCTGTCACAGGTCTCTCCCAAGAGTGAGAGTCCCATGACCTCAGGGGCTGGAGAATCACCCCTCTCTGACTGTGAGCCCTCAGGGCTGGAGGCTCACCCTCTCTGACTGTGAGCCCTCAGGGCTGGAGGAGGCTCACCCTCTCTGACTGAGAGCCCTCAGGGCTGGAGGAGGCTCACCCTCTCTGAGAGCCCTCAGGGCTGGAGGCTTACCCTCTCTGACTGTGAGCCCTCAGGGCTGGAGGGGGATCACCCTCTCTGACTGAGCCCTCAGGGCTGGAGGGGGATCACCCTCTCTGACTGAGAGCCCTCAGGGCTGGAGGCTCACCCCGCTCTGTGACTGTGAGCTCCGTCAGGGGAATGTTATGGTGCACGTCTGGGGGGTTCTTCACGGCACAGCTGAAGGTCCCGTTGTCCCTGGTGGTGGGGTTGCTTATGCTTATGGACGCGTCCCCTTTGTACACGTCTCCGACCCAGGAGATCCGATCGCGAAACGTGCCTGCGGTGCTGGGGTACTGGAAGGACTGGTAGTGGAAAATCTAAGAAAGCAGCACAGGAGAGAAGCAGTTAATTCGGAAAATGCACGACAGTGGCAAGCTTAGTAGTCTAAAGCAAAATGCTCTGTGTCAGGGGTCCTTCCTGGGGAGCACTGTTTATTCTTGGTTTGCTTCCCTCCTGCAGGTCCAAGGCGGCAAGGAGCACAGAGGCAGGCCTGCCTCTACAGCCTCTTCTGCGGCCCCCTCCCGGCCTGAGGCAGGGGCTCTCCACCATGGATCGTGCCCAGAGGACACTGGGCAACGTCTGGAGACAGTTCTGCTTGTCACCACGGGGAGTGCTGCCGGCACCCAGTGAATGGAGGCACCCAGTGGATAGAGGCCAGGATCTTACTGAAATCCTGCAATGGCGCCGCCGCCTGGCTCAGTGCTTGAGCGTTGACCTATGAACCAGATCACTGTTCGATTCCGGTCAGGACACACGCCCGGATTGCAGGCTCGATCCCCAGTGTGGGGCGTGCTGGAGGCAGCCGATCAATGATTCTCTCTCATCATTGATGTTCCATCTCTTTCTCCCTCTCCCTTCCTCTCTGAAATCAACAAAAAATATACTTAAAAACAAAAATAAAATAGAATCCTATGATGCATAGAACACCCCCCACCACAAAAAATCCTCCAGCTCACAATGGCAGCAGTGCCAAAGGTGAGAAACCCTATTCCAAAGAAGCATCTAATCCTAGGTAATAAAAGCCTAACAAGCAAATTGTCCCCTCAACTGGGATTTCGACCAGGGGGTGGGGCCGGCCAGCGGCCTGCAACCCACCCCCCTCGGCCCGGACCCCATCTGCCCAATTTGGGTGGGCAGGCCAGACCCCACCCATGCACAACTTCATGCACTGGGCCTCTAGTATTCCTATAACCCTGTAGGGTTTACAAGTGATTCCTATTCATTTGTTCATTTGAGCCTCATTACAACTACATTTGGGGCAAGTATGCTAGTAATTCTTCCAAATTTACAGAAAGGGAAACAGGCTAAGAAAAAACAACTAAGTGAGTTATCAAAGGCACATGGCTAGAAAGTGAAAAGGGGGGATATTCGTATATTTTCAAAATCACCAGGAGGGTATACTACAGCCACGCCTCTCAGGTTCCCTGTCTTGGCGATCGATGCATGATCAGCACTCAGTCCTACGCGTGGCCAGGGGGCAGAGGGAAATGAGATGTGTGCTGAATGACAGCACTGCTGCTCGGGTGACCGTGCGCTTCCCAGCAGAAGCACCTACGTGCACCTGCTGGTGGCCCGGCAGGTCCTGCGACACCACACAATCGTCTCATGCGCAGTCCGGCTGTCCCCTTTCTCTGCTTACTCAGCACCTCCCCACTTTGGAAGCACTGCCAACTGCGAAGAGCAACTTCCCAAAGCAGATGCTGAATCACTGATGGGTTCATGTGTTCATGCATTCATGCAACAACTACGTACTGCACGCCTACTGTGTGCTACGCCAAAGGAGACAATGGGAGCCTCAGAGGCACAGGCCCTCTCTCATGGAGCCTCAGTCAGTGGGAAATACAGACATCAATGAACAAGAACATGTGTGCTCTGTGTTCCACAAAGGGACGTAGAGAATGCCTACTGCTGCCTTGGCTGGTGTGGCTCAGTGGACAGAGTGTCGGCCTGTGGACCAAAGGCTCCCAGGTTCTATCCCTGGCAAGGTCACGAATCTCAGTTGCAGGCTCCTCCCCAGCCCATGCCCTGGTCAGGGCGCATGCAGGAGGCAACCAATCAATGTGTTTCAATATTTCTCTCTGTCTTTCCCTCTCTTACACTTTCTAGAAAAATATCCTTGGGTGAGGATTTAAAAAAAAAAAGAATGCTTGCTGTGATGATCAGCATCAACATAAAAGAAAATGTCTAAAACCCCTTACTGACCAAGCAAGGCCTGCTGTGCACTTGGAGATGGATGTGACCTCAGTTCCAAGTTCAGCTGAGGTGCAAATCCTGGTTAGTCCGCCAGGACCCTGAGCGGCCACATACCTGCAGCAGCACTGCGTGCCTTTAAAGGCCAGGACTCGGCGCTGGCGAACGGCTTCCTGAGCCTCTCTCAGGAAGCGCCACAGAGAACCGCTGCTGTTAGCATCCGGGGTTTCTGACCCAAGAAAGCCCCCTGGCTTCTCCTGTCCTACTTTTGGCCACGGGGGCAAAGCGAAACAAGGCCAGCCACAGTTTCCAACCACTCAAATACCGTGAGCTCCTGTAAGTCTACAGGACCACGAACACAGCCTGGTTTCCTTCACCCCGAGCTCCTGGCATTCAAAGGTCTCCTAACACACAATGCAAAGCTGCATGTTAAAATCAAACGGAAAGTTTTCCCAATGAAAACTTTCTCTCTGTCCCTTCCTCTCTTACACTTTCTAGAAAAATGCCCTTGGGGGAGGATTTGAAAAAAGGAATGCTTGCTGCTGATGATCATAAAGAAAGGGTCTGAAACTCCTTACGTCCAAGCAAGGCCTGCTGTGCACTTGGAAGTGGCCTCGATTCCAAGTTCAGTTAAGGGACTTCCAGAACACCGTCTTGTACACAGCGGTGACATCCACACTCATGACAGCAGCTATCCCGAGCTGAGGATGCTGCTGGAAACATACAAGGGGTTTTGTTTGTTTGTTTGTTTGTTGTTAATCCTCACCAGAGGATTTTTTCCTTTGATCTTTTAGAGAGTGTGGGAGAAGGAAAACATCGTTGTGAGAGAGAGACACATCGATTGGTTGCTTCCTGCACATGCCCCGACCAGGGCTCAGGACAGGAGGAGTCTTTAACCGAGGTATGTGCCTTTGACAGGAATCGAACCTGGGACCCTTCAGTCCAAGGGCCAATGCTCTATTCACTGAGCCAAACCAGCCAGGGCAAGAGAAGGGGCTTTTTAAGCACTGCCACCTTCGAATAGACATCCACATTGGACCTGAGCCATAAATGCAGTTTATATGTGTGACACAAGGATATTGCTTCTACTATGGACAGACCATCTGTCACCGACAGCACCTGTCAGTCATCAAAGGAACCACGGAAATCAGTGCTGAGGTTTACAGACGGGCACGGCCCACTGAATCCACAGAGCACGGCTCAGAGCAGCACGCCCACTGGCCGCCTGGGCGGCGGAAGTGAGCAGCTGTCAGAGCAGGGTGCCTGCAGCCGGCCCAGAGCACCTTTCCACCCGCCGGTCCTGGCGGGACCACTGCGTACATTTCCTCTCCACCCCGACAAGCTTTTTCCATCGCCTGTTTGCAGGGCTCTCGCAGGAAGAGCGAACGGCCTCGCATGACTCCGGGAAGGTCAGGCGGGGACACATCCTCCAGTCCGAGAGGGACGCGGAGGGCGCCTGGACAGGAATGACAGGTCCCCCCTGCGGAGCACAGGACACGCGAGGACCGCTGTTCTCCACACACTTACTGACTCGGTGCGGCTGCTGCTGGGGGGCCGGTAGGTCCAGTCTATGGTGAGCTTGTCAGTGACAGACGACGTCGACTTGAAAATGCATTTCAACTTGACCTTCTCTCCAACGTAACCTCGGACATGCGCATCCACTTTAATCTCCAAGGTGAGGACCGTGTGAACACCTGGCCAAAGCAAACCCAGACACTGGAGATGTGTTCGTTTGGAATACACAGATGGCCGAACAGCATAAACATGCTATCTATCACTTTTCAGGCTCTTTTATAACCATCCCAATGAACACCTCCCGTACCGGCCCAGGGACCAGGCGTGGACAACTGCATCCATCCTGGGCAGTATTTTGTCGTCTTACATTTGAAATCGTAGGAGGAATGCCGGGTAAGGTGTAAAAGCTGGTTTTCCCCGACACAGACGTGTGGTTGGGCTGATGCGAACAAGTGGGTCAGCCACGGCAGGCTGAGCGGCGGCACCACCCACGCCCCCACCCACGCCTCACGCTCCTCCAGGAATGTGTCACCACCGTGGTCTGAGGGACTGCCCCACGGAAGCCTGGCTGCCACCTGCAGCTACCTCTGCCTCACCCACTGGCACAATGTGGATGGAAAAGAACAGGGGTGTGTGTGTGTGTGTGTGTGTGTGTTTACATTTCAAAAAATCATAAAAAGCTGCCCTAAGGTTCTGTCTAGCTTTGTTTTGGTTTTTCCGGTCTTAAAGTGGGTTAATGACTAACACATCCATTAGAAGTAAGCCAGGGCACCCTAGCCGGTTTGGCTTAGTGGATAGAGCGTCAGCCTGCAGGTTGAAGGGTCCTGGGTTCGATTCTGGTCAAGGGCACATACTTGAGTTGTGCCCTGGATCCCCAATGGGAGGGCCTATAGGAGGCGGCCAATCAATGATTTTCTCTCTCATCATTATGTTTCTATCTCTCTCTCCCTGTCTCTTCCTCTCTGAAATCAATACAATATATTAAAGAAAACAATTTTTTTTAAGTAAACCAGGAGGAGGAAAACAAAACAACCTAATCACTCTAAGTATATGTGCTGCCGAAGTGAGCACAACCTAATCACTCTAAAATCTAAAACCCTAATGTGCAGATAGACCAAACAGCAGAACAACCGAACAACTGGTCACTATGGCGTGCACTGACCACCAGGGGGCACGTGCAGAACATGGAGGGCATTGGCAGCAGAGCACAGAGCATGGCGGGTATCAGCTGCAGCAGGATGGTGGAGCAGGTGAGTGGGGGTGCCAGACCGAGGCGGGTGCCAGCCAGTGTCATTGGGGTGAGCCTCTGGTGGTTACTGAAAATTCTCTGTTCCCATGAGCCACAGTCCACCTGCTGCTCGCACTTGCTGCCTGCCCCGCTCCACCCGCTGCCTGCCCCCCCTCACACCTGCTACCGGTGCCAGCCCCACTCACACCCGCTGCCTGCCCCGCTCACACCCACTGCTGGCTCCCAGCGCTGATCCTGATCACTTGGTGCCATCAGTGAGTATGAGCAGCAGTTGCTGGCCCGATTGCCCCCGAGTTCTTCTCCACCTCCCCCTGCTCCTGAGGGGCGATCGGGACAGCAGCCACCACTCGCACCCATGGACAGCGCCAGCTCTGCTCGCACCTGCTGCTGGCACCGGCCCCAATCGCTCTGCGCTGTCAGCAGGTGTGAGTGGGGCCAGCGCCGTCAGCATGTGGGAGCAGCGCCAGAGGGAGCGGGGCTGCCAGCAGACAGGGGGCTGTGGCAGGAGGGGCCGGGCAGGGGTGCAGAGGATGGGCCGTGTTCCTTTCAAGATGCATGAATTAGTGCACTGGGCCCCTACACCACTAGTTGGCAAACTCATTAGTCAGCAGATCCAAATATCAACAGTACAATGATTAAAATTTCTTTTGAGAGCCAAATTTTTTAAGCTTAAACTCCTTCTAACGCCACTTCTTCAAAATAGACTCGTCCAGGCCGTGGTATTTTGTAGAAGAGCTACACACAAGGGGCCAAGGAGCCGTAGTTTGCCGACCACGGGTCTACACTAATAAAAGAGTAACATGCTAAGTGACCATACCTTCGAGACATCCACAGGCCATTGGGAGTGTGTATGCAAATTAACACAACAAAGATGGTGGGTTAATTAGCATACACAGGCACCATGGTGCCGATGCAGGCGTTCCGCACCACCCCCGCCGCTCCGGGCCTCTGGGCCGCGTGGGAGGGTGAAAAGGCAGCCCGGGCCAGAGCGGAAGGGGGGCTCCAGCCAGGGCGAAGGCGGTCCGGCAGCCAGGAGAAGGAAGGCCCATTCTTGCAGGAATCTCCGTGCATCGGGCCTCTCGTGTGAAAATAAAAGCCCTGGCCAGTGCCCAATGGTTAGCCTTGTCAGCCTGCGGATCAAAGGGCCGTGGGTTCAATTCCTCAGGTACCTTGGTTGTAGGTTCCCCAGGTCCCGTTGGGGCCAGTGGGAGAGGCAACTAACTAATGTCTCTCTCTCTCTCTCTCTCTCTCTCTCTCTCTCTCTCTCTCTCTCTCGTCGATAAACCAGGAGTCACAGTTCGATTCTCCATCGGGGCACTTGCTGGGTTGAGGGTTCGATCCCCAGCAGAGGGCATGCAGGAGGCAGTGGATGGACTGTTCTCTCTCATCATTGATGTTTCTCTCCCTCTCCCTCTCTGACATCAATAAAAAACTATATATTTTAAAGTAAAAATAAATTCTCTAGAGACTTACTCTTTCCAAGACCACCTCACATATCCAGCTCTGAAGCTCTACCCTCCACAAGAGTTGGCCCTTTTCCTCTGACCGATCCCCTCTGCCTTCGGAGAACGGTGAGTGGAGCCCGGTCTCCCCCGTGGGCACCGGTTCTGAGGACAGCGAGCCGCTGGGGCTGTTCCTGCCCCCTTCTCCAGGCGAAGGCCCGGCTCTGGGCTCACAGGCAGGAGGCTGACGGCCGCAGCCACGCACAACCCGAAGCCCCGCTCCCGGGCAGCGCTGGCCGCACCCCGGGCCGTCACGCTGGCCCTGTGCCCTCAGCAGTGGCTTTCCTGCTGCAGTCCCCGCGCTGTCGCAGGTGAGGAACTCCTGAGTTAAGACACATACAGCCTGGGAGGCCCAACCCACGCAGAGCAAGTGCTCACCGAGTCAGAGCTCCTCACACAGCCGCTCTGTCCTGCCCAGCGCCCAGGCAGGCCGGGGCGAGGCGAGGCGGGCGGGCCGGCCAGCCAGGGCCTGCCCTTCTTCCCGCTCCTCCAGACCATCCAGCCCGGGCACATTCCTCCGGAAGGAGGGCACAGGCTGCTCACAGCGCTGCTAAGACTCTGACCCGCCCCACGATGACGGTGCCGATGACGACGACGGTGCCACTGGCGTCCGGGTGTCTGCAGCATCAGGCCAGGCTGCCCTGCCGAGGCCTCTGGGGTGCGGTGCTGCCTGCGAGCCCCCGTCCCCCCAGCTCTCTCCTGGGCCCTCCCTCCTGAGCCCCTTTCACCGCCCCAGCTGCAGCTGAGGAGAGGAGGGTGGGAGCGTATGGTGAACACCCTCCCAGACCCCAGGCCTATCTTCCAACCAGAACGCTGCGCATTCCGAGTCCAGCAGGTCTGGGCTGCGTTCCCAGCCCAGCCACCCCCTGGCTGAGGGCCTGATCAGTCACCTGCTCTGCTCCACCCGCTTCCTCAGCCAGCAAGTGGGGATAATGGGAGACCTACTTCCCGGACCGGGGAGGGTGACAGACTAAGGAAGGTAACCACAAAGGCTAACTCAGCACCTGGAACAGGAGCCTGCCCTGGAAGTTACTATCATTACAATAAATGTCACCAGCATTCAAAACCCTTCAGGAATTCTCTATCGGGGCACAGAATAAATCCAAATAGTGACAATCTGACCCAAAGCTCTGCTTCTCCACCGCCCGCCCATCCCCCCGTCCCGGGCCCCAAATGTCCTGCCATTTGCTAATATGCTATTCTCCTCGGGCCTTGTCTGTGTCCGGAAGGATCTCCCCACCCCACGGGTGCTGCCTGGGCTGCCCCCCAAGGTCACAGCCCAAAACCCAGGCCAGCAGCAGCCCCTGATGGACGCAGCTCACTGCATTTCTGAGTGTTCTCGGTGCACGGAGTACACAACGCTCCTCGGGAGCACATGCCACTGGTTACACCGTTTCAAACGACAGTTCCTCTGGGGGGAAGGCCGTTTCACAGCGTTTCCAGCGCTCTCAGCCCTGGCTCCGTGACCTCCGCCGTGGCCGCTGTGCGGAGGGAGAAACTCACCACCGCAGTCACCGCGGAAACCCCTGAATCCGGCCTGCGGAGCCCTGGATGAAGGACGGCCCTTTAACGGCCTTGGCCACTCCTCACCCTCTGTGCGCCCACAAATCCCTCCCTCTCAGGAGACAATGTCTCCTCTTCCTCAGGAACCAGCGGCCATGCACACGGCCCAGCCGCCACCTCCCAATGGACATCCATCTGCTTCCCCGCCCCTTCTCCTCCGCAAGCTGAGCTCCTCTGCCAGCCCCTCCGCTCCACACCTGCCCCACACCTGCCCGGCACAAAGACCTCCAGGCCGCGCCTCCCTCCGGCGGAGGCTCTCTCCCTCAGCCTCTAAGCAGACTCTCACCTTGAAAAACAGCGAACCAATAACTAACAGCAAAAACAATAACAATCTCCCCTTGCACCTGTAACGCTATTCCTCATCAACTACTGCTCTGTCCTTCCCCGCCAGGCTCTCCGCCCGCCACCCCCCTCCCCTCCCGTCCCCTCCTGGGCCGGCCGGGCGGCCACGCCGCACTCCCTCCGCTTCTGGCAAAGGCCGGCCCGCCGGACCCGCCGCAGGGAACTGAAAACCGCCAGGCACTTCCGCTCCGATGTCTCCGCTCGGCTCCCGGCTTCTCTGCCCGCGGCTCCCAGGACACGCGCTCTCCCTCGTTCGCTCAGCCTTTAACATAGATTTATTGAGCATCTGTTTGTGCCACTTTCTCAGCAACAAATTAAGTGTGAGCAAAATAAGTTTGACATTATCCCTTACATACATCAAGGCACCTAGAACTCCTCCAGAATAAAACTCGTCTTCATTCCTTAATGAACTTCCGAATATTAAGTTTTGGAACTTAATATACATAAGTCCAACACATTAATCAAATCATAACGACAAACTCGGAGGGTACCATGAAGAAAAGACCAGAGCGTGGCCGGGAAA